TGCCTGTAGTCCCAGCTACTCGGGAGGCTGAGTTCAAGGAGGAGAATTGCTTGAACCAGGAGGCGGAGTTTGCAGCGAGCCAACATCGCACCATTGCACTCCAGCCTGGGTAACAAGAGCGAAACTCTGTCTCAAAAAAAAAAAAAAGATCTTCAGCAAGAAACATAGTTTACATTATGAAAGGTATACACGTTTTCACAAAATGAAGCATTGAAGGGCCCCTAGGCTGACTATCAAGGGAACAAGTTTCTTTTCTTTTCTCTTTTTGTAGAGGAAAAAAAAAAGGTGTAGAGACAAAAAAATGTTGCCTAGGCTGTTCTCAAACTGCTGGCCCCAAGTGATCCTCCACCCTAGCTTCCCGAAGTGCTGGGATTACAGGCGTGAGCCACTGCACCTGGCCAGGGGTAATAGGTTTCCTGTTTGTTCCCACTTGGCTGGGCACTAGCTGTTGCACTTGGAACAAGACCCTTAACATCTCATCTACCTCCTTGCAGTCTTCTGAAAAGCTTCCAAGAGATGATGCATACAAAACAGCTCTGTGTGCAAAATATCACCAAGCATAAAGCATTATTAAGGGCAAACCAACAAAGTTCTATTTACAGTTGCCAGTGTCCTCTAAGAAGGGCAGCCACTGACGAGGAGAATCCCCTATTCTCCCTGCAGAGCATCTTCAGATCTGCAAAGCTGGCTAGGCTAGGAATGAGTTTGCTGGTAAGAAATGGGGAATGTTGAATTCCTCTGGGTTATAGAAGGGGAGAATTTGGAGTTCCAGGAGAGAAGTTGATGAGAAGAAGGGATGGAAGGATGAGAAGAAGGGATAGAAAGATGAGAAGAAGGGATGGAAGTATGAGAAGAAGGGGAGCCAGCAGGGTGTTGCAAAGGAAGGAGTGAACCCGAGGGCTAGATTAGCCCTGCAGAACTTAACCTGCCTTACCTGATTTTAGTCAGTTGCTTCTAGTTGATCTTAAAACCTATATAGCTGCTGGGGGCAATGGCTCATGCCTGTAATCCTAGCACTTTGGGAAGTCAAGGCTGAAGGATTACTTGAGCCCAGGAGTTGAAGACCAGCATAGGAAACATGGCAAGACCCTGTCTCTACTAAAAATGAAAAAAAAAAAAAAAAAAAAAAAAAAAAAAAAAAAAAAAAAAAGCCTGGCACAGTGGCTCATGCCTGTAATCCCAGCACTTTGGGAGGCCAAGGCAGGTGGACCACCTGAAGTTAGGAGTTCAAGACCAGCCTGACCAACATGGAGAAACCCTGTCTCTACTAAAAATACAAAATTAGCCAGGCGTGGTGGCACATGCCTGTAATCTCAGCTACTCGGGAGGCTGAGGCAGGAGAATCGCTTGAACCTGGGAGGCAGAGGTTTCAGTGAGCCGAGATCGTGCCACTACACTCCAGCCTGGGCAACAAGAGCAAAACTCCAACTCAAAAAAGAAAAAGAAAAGAAAAAAAAAAAATAGCCATATGTGGCAGCGTGTGCCTGTAGTCCCAGATACTCAGGAGGCTGAGGTGGGAGGATGGCTTGACTCTAGGAGGTTGAGGCTGCAGTGATCTGTGATCACCACCAATGCACTCTAGCCTGGGTTATAGAGTGAAACCCTGTCTTAAACAAAACAAAACAAAACGTGTATAGCTAAAAGTCATGTAGCTAAGCAATATTTAACTGGACTTCCACTGGCTTCTTTACAGATAACATCTCTGATGTATAGGTCATCATAGTAATGGTTAAGTTGTTTTTCAGGGGCCAGGCGTGGTGGCTCACACCTGTAATCCCAGCATTTTGGGAGGCCAAGGCAGGCGGATCACCTGAGGTCAGGAGTTCGAGACCAGCCTGGCCAACATGGTGAAACCCCATCTCTACTATAAATACAAAATTAGCTGGGTATAGTGGTGGGCACCTGTAATCCTAGCTACTCAGGAGGCTGAGGCAGGATAATTGTTTGAACCTGGGAGGCAGAGGTTGTAGTGAGCTGAGATCATGCCATTGCACTCCAGCCTGGGTGACGAGAGTGAAACTCCGTCTCAAAAAAAAAGAGATGTTTTTCGGGAACTTGGGGTCAGCTATTATACAGTTCAATCCTTCAACTTGATTTGTGTGAGTGTCCAGTAAGTAACCTTTGATGTCAGAGCACCACAAACTCCATCCTCGATCCTGCTAGTGTCACCATTTTGTGAACCTGCATCCTATGAAGAAACCATGACGCTTGACTAGGCTTGCACTGATCGCTGATTTCCTACTTTTTCTTGCCTCCAATCACCTTCCCCACACCTTAGGCCACCTGCTTCTTTGTCCCATCAATGTCTCTAAACCCCATCTTTGAGGAAGTAGATTTGAGACCTGTTTTCTCGCCTCCTCACTTGGCTGCCTCATGAATAAACCCACTCTCTGCTGCAAAACTGGTCATCTCAGTGATTGGCTCACTGTATGATGAGCAGAATGGGCTTCGTTTGGTATCAAGAGAAGAAACTGATAGAAAGTGCTCAGAGATGGGGTGGCAAAGACATTTTATGTTCTGTGTGTAGCTGTTTGCACTGATGTGTTGTAAACCCCTCTGGCTGCCCCCTCCTTAGTCTTTAGTAAAGCCTGCTGCAACTGCTAGTGCTTTTGTGAGCACATTTGTTCTGGTGGTCTGGGGAACTAAGAAAGGCATGTAGTTTCACCTCTGGGTCAGTGCAGTATAAACAGTTTTACCCACAGAAGCTGCAGTCCCATGCTGACTGTGGAAAAAGAAGTGGCCTCCTAGGGAATCCACAGAAGTCCTGGGGCCCTTTGGACTTCAGCAGGCCTGGAATGAGGGTTCAAGCTGATCTCAGCCTAGATCTCAAGCGTCTGAGAGGCTGTAGAGAATATTTAGGTTGGTTGGCATGAACAGTTCTTGCCCCAGTTCACCTCTAGTTTCCAGATTGTTGCTATTCATGCTTAGTGAGCCCTTGTTCCCACTCGTCCTTCTTCTTTTTTTTTTTTTTTTTTTTGAGATGGAATCTCACTCTGTCGCCTAGGCTAGAGTGTAGTGGTGCAATCTCGGCTCACTGCAACCTCTACTTCCCAGTTCAAGTGATTCTCCTGCCTCAGCCTCCTGAGTAGCTGGGATTACAGGCACTTACCACCATACCCAGCTAATTTTTGTGTATTTTTGGTAGAGATGGGGTTTCATCATGTTGGCCAGGCTGGTCTGGAACTCCTGACCTCAAGTGATCCACCCGCCTTGGCCTCCCAAATTGCTGGGATCACAGGTGTGAGACACTGTGCTCGGCCCCACTCGTCCTTCTCACTGATGACAGCACCAGAAATGGCCATGTGGATAGTCACTGGCAACTTAAAACCCAAGTGTGCATGGGGAAGTGCAGGGCAGGGTAATTAAAAGGAGTCCAGCCCCTCTTCTCCCCCTCTCTATCCTTTCATTTCTCGGAAAGACGGGAAACCTAGCCTCACTCCTCTTTCTCCTATGGCCCCATCCCTACCTCACTTCAGCCAGTCAGCCTCCAAATTTCGTCCAAGTCCTTGTCATGTCTGTACCTGGAGCATTCCATTTTTGCTGGTCCCCAGCCGCCATCTGGCTCCCCACTGGCTGCCAAATACCAGTGTGAGCCTGTCCCTTCCCTTCCCTGCTTTAAGCCTCTCGGTAGTTACTTATCATCGAAGCAGAGTGAAGCCTGCGCTCTGCATTGCTTCATGGCCAAGACCTCAAGGACAAGTGGATACATAGGGCAGTGGGAGTGGATATGGCAAAGCCAAACCCATATGTCTTCTCGAAATAATTTTCCAGAGGGCAAAAGTAGATGGCTCCACCAAGAACACTTTGATCTCGAGGCCTCTGGAAGGGAAGGTGCCCAATGAACCGCTGAAAGCCAGAGATGCAATGACAAAGGTACCAAGACTGGTGATGATCCATGTCTTTCATCTAAGAGACCTAAGATGTAGTCTAAATTCACACCACTGTAATCCCAGCACTTTGGGAGGCTGAGGCAGATGGATCACCTGAGGTTAGGAGTTTGAGATCAGCCTGGCAACATGGTGAAACTTCACTTCTACTAAAAATACAGAAATTAGCCAGGTGTGGTGGCACATGCCTATAGTCCCAGCTATTCTAGAGGCTGAGGCAGGAGAATCATTTGAACCCGGGAGGCAGAGGCTGCAGTGAGCCGAGATTCAGCCCTTGTACTCCAGGCGAGGTGACAAAGCGAGACTCCATCTCAAATTAATTAATTAATTAATTAAAATAAATTTACACAGTTAGTGCTTTGCTCCCACCCCTATCTCCAGCATAGCACCATGAGAGCCTTCTCACAGCAAGTCCAAAAATACACTCTCAGCATCTAGAGAATAACTCATTACAGTTTGCATTGCTCACTCCCAGTCATTACCTCATTTCAACCCAAGAGGTAAACTTCTTCATTGCCCCAACATACATGCGAGGAAAAGGCCCAGAGAGGTGAAGCGATGCCTCCGGTCACTCAGCCAGTTACCGGCAGAGCAGATTCTTTAACAAAAGTTTTTCTCCAACCCCACCCAGCGGTCGTACCAGGGCTCCAGGCTGCAATCCCCCGGCCCAGTGCCAATGAAGTAGCTCCCATGGACACGTGCCCTGATGCCAGCACTGGCAGATGTCTGCCGTGAAGAAAGCAGGAAGCTTTCCCTTGGAAAGCCAAGATGCTAACCTGAACTGTGAAGGTTTCCAGATGTGAGCAGCTGCGGAGACAGCAGTGGCCGGAGTGCTGTGGCTCAGGCACAGCTGGTGAGAGGCATTCCTCACTCACAGGACCTCACCCACCGCTAGAGACAGTTTGAGCCCCATCCTGACCACTTCCTCTTTCTTGTCAGCCCACAGGGGAGAGACCTGTGCATCATCTTTAGGCAACCATTCCTTTTCCAGGGAAGCTGACGAGGCTGTCCAGAAGCCAGAATCTTCTCACTGCCCTGTGTCACTCCCACAAGGCCCATCAGAGGACCCTCATGGTGTAGGAGGGGGTCCTGGCAGGGGCCAGGGGCCAGGGTGGAGACTTGGCAGTGTGGGTGGGTGAGGTGTCCCCACAGACGAGTTTGCCCTGAGCATTACTGGATGTAGCAGCCTCAGTGTCAAGAAGAGCGACAGGATGCCAACTCCCATGCAGAGACAGACCCAGGTAAGAAACCAGCTCATGTGTGACAAACTCACCATCTCGCAATGAGGGCGACTCTTGAAAACTTCTGTGCACCCTGGAACTGCTGACACAGCTACTGCTTAGAGGAGGCAAGGGACAGGCTTCCTTTTTCTAAGGGCATGTGAGTGGTGGCATTGAGAAATGTGTCCAGTGGAGCATTTTGACTGAGTTGGGTCTCCTCATGCAAGACTGTGAGACAGAACTCCCAGTGAGGCTCATGGCCTCTGAACATGGGGGCTGGGGTGGGGAAACCAAGTAAACATTTTGTTGAATTGGCAGGTTCTGACTCAAATGATCAGTCATAGTAGTAAAAATAGACAAATGGATGTGCATTGTGTCTGCCCAGAGCAAATGAGTTATCACTTTCAGTGATAATGATGATAACCTGATATGTCTGGTAAGTGTTTAACAAACATCTGGCTCTGGCCAGCATGGTGGCTGACACCTGTAATCCTAGCAGTTTGGGAGGCTGAGGAGGGCCAATCATCTGAGGTCAGTAGTTCGAGACCAGGCTGGTCAACATGGTGAAACCCTGTCTCTACTAAAAATACAAAAATTAGCCAGGCGTGGTGGTACACACCTGTAGTCCCAGCACTCGGGAGGCTGATGCAGGAGAGTTGCTTGAACCTGGGAGGTGGAGGTTGCAGTAAGCCGAGATGGCGCCACTGCACTCCAGCCTGAGTGACAGAACAAGACTCCATCTCAAACAAAACAAAACAAAACAAAAAATCTAGCTCAGAAGATTCCTAATTTGCAATGTTTGCTTATTTATTTATTTATTTATTGAGATGTAGTCTCCCTCTCATGGCTTCCATGGGCCTGTCTGGGCTAGTTCCAGCATGCCACTGAATTGATAGATCCCACTGTTGAGCATCTGCTGGGACTAGGGCCTGAAACCAGTGTTTTACATCCCTTATCTCACATCTCATCTCCCCTTCACTGACTCAGAAGATTGTCGTCTCTGTTTTGCAGGTGAAAACATCAAAGCTCAGGGAGGCTGCATCACTGAATCAACTTTGCACAGCCAAGAAGAGGACTTTAAACTGAGGTTGTGGGGTGGGGGGAGGTTGAGACAGGGTATCTCTCTGTCACCTAGGCTGCAGTGCAATGGCATAATCACAGCTCACTGCAGCCTCCAACTCCTGGGCTTAGGTAATCCTCCTGCCTCAGCCTCCCAAGTAGCTGGACAGCCCGTATATACTAACATGCCTGGCTTTTTTTTTTTTTTTTGAGTTGGAGTCTCACCCTGTTGCCCAGGCTAGAGTTCAGTGGCAAAATCTGAGCTCACTGCAACCTCCACTTCCTTGCTTCAAGCAATTGTGCCTCAGCCTCCTGAGCAGTGGTGAGACTACAGGCACTCACCACCACACCCAGCTAATTTTTTGTATTTTTAGTAGAGATGGGGTTTCACCATGTTGGCCAGGCTGGTCTCGAACTCCTGACCTCAAGTGATCTCCCTGCCTCGGCCTCCCAAAGTGCTGAAATTATAGGCATGAGCCACTACACCTGGCCCCTGCCTAATTTTTATTTATTTATTTATTTTTGTAGAGATGAAGTGTCCCTGTGTTACCCAGGCTGGTCTCAAACTCTGGGGCTCAAGTGATCCTCCCACGTCAGCCTCCTGGAGTACTGGGATTATAGGCATGAGCCACCATGCCTGGCCTGTGCTCCTGTGAGATCCCCACCTCCAAAATTGAGGATCAAATTTCAACATGAGATTTGGAGGAGACAAATATCCAAAGTATATCATACCAGCCTGGGCGCAGTGGCTCATGCCTGTCATCTCAGCACTTTGGGAGGCCAAGGAGGGTGGATCACTTGAGCTCAGGAGTTCAAGACCAGCCTGGGAAACATGGCAAAACCATGTCTTTACAAAAAAAAAAAAAAATTAGCTGGGCATGATGGTGCACGCCTGTAGTCCCAGCTACTTGGGAGGCTGAGGTGAGAAGATCGCTTGAGCCTGGGAGGCAGAGTTTGCAGTGAGCCAAGATCATGCCACTACACTCTAGCCTGGGCAACAGAGCCAGACTCTGTCTCACACACACACACACACACACACACACACACTCACACACATGCTTGCACAAAACTAGGGCATTTTAAGCTGATAACTTGAATTCAATTGCATACAAAAACTACACTTTTACTCCCCACCTGCCATTTTAAGTTTTTGATGACACAATTCACTTCTTTTTATATTGTGCATCCATTAACAAATTATTTTAGCTATGGTTATTTCTAATACACTTGTCTTTTGACCTTTGTACCAAAGTTAAAGGTGATTTGCACTCCACCATTAAACTACTAGAGTATTCTGACTATATACTTACCTTTACTGGTGAATTTTATACTTTCATGTTTTCATGTTACTAATGACCATACTTTGATTTCAGCTTGAAGAACTCCCTTTAGCATTTTTTGTAAGGCAGCGATTATGGTGATGAACTCCCTCAGCTTTTGTTTGTCTGGGAAATTTTTTATCTCTTCTTTGTATTTAAAGGACATGTTTTTCTGAGTCAAGTATTCTTGGTTGGCAGTTTATTTCTCTGAGCACTTGGACTATCTCATCCCACTCTCTCCTGGCCTGCAAGGTTTCTGCTGAGAAATCTGCTGATAGTCCAATAGGGGTTCCTGTGTATTTGATTAATTTCTTTGCTTTTGCTTTCAAAACTCTCCCTCTGATGATTTCTTCCTCCTCGTCTGCTGCTGCTTCCCCCTCCTCTTCCTCCAGACTTCTCCTTCTCCTTCTTCTTTCTCTTCTTTTCTTTTTGAGATAGGGTCTCCTTCACCCAGGCTGGAGTGTAGTGGTACAATCAGAGCTCACTGCAGCCTTGACCTTCTGGGCTCAAGTGTTCTTCCTACCTCAGCCTCCTAATTAGTTGGGACTATAGTTAGGTGCCACCATGCCTGGCTAATTTAAAATTTTTTGTACAGGCAGGGTCTCACTGTGTTGCACAGGCTGGTCTCAAACTCCTGGGCTCAATGATTCTTCCACCTTGGCCTCCTAAAGTGCTGGAATTACAGGCATGAGCCACCATTCTCAGCCCCTCTGACTTTGATTTTTGACAATTGGATTGTAATATGTCTCAGTGAAGTCATCTTACATTGAACCTGTTTGGGGACTTTTAAGCCTTATAAACCTAGATGTCCATATCACCCCCAAAATTTGGAATGTTTTTAGTCATTCTTTCTTTCTCTTTCTTTTCTTTTCTTCTTTTCTTTCTTTCTTTTTCTTTCTTTCTCTTTTTTTCCTTTCTTTTTCTTTCTTTCCTTTCTCTCTCTCTCTCTTTCTTTCTTCTTTCTTTCTTTCTTTCTTCTTTTTTTTGAGGGGGAGTTTTGCTCTTGTTGCCCAGGCTGGAGTATAATGGTGTGATCTTGGCTCACTACAACCTCTGCCTCCCAGGTTCAAGCGATTCTTCTGCCTTAGCCTCCTGAGTAGCTGGGATTATAGGTGTGCACCAGCACACCCGGCTAATTTTGTATTTTTAGTAGAGATGGGGTTTATCCATGTTGATCAGGCTAGTCTTGAACTCCTGACCTCAGGTGATCCACCTGCCTTGGCCTCCCAAAATGATAGGATTACAGATGTGAGCCACCGCGCCCAGCCAATCAGTCATTATTTCTTTAAATAAACTTTCTTCTCCTTTTGACTTTCTTCTCCTTCTACAGGTTACCTAATCTGTATTTCTATTGATAGTGTCCCATAAATCCCTTGTTTATTTATTTATTTTTATTTGCTTTTTTCTTCTGACTGGATAACTTCTAATAATCTATATTCTAGTTTGCAAATTCTTTTTTTCTGCCTGATCAAGTCTGCTGTTAAGCTCTATATTGCATTTTTCATTTCATTCATTGCATCTTCAGCTCAGAATTAAAAAAAAATAATTTATATCTCTTT